CCATACGACTAAAGATGGACTATTTAATAACATCTCCAGCATGTAAAAAAGATATAAGTTCACGGTATTTTGACTAAGTACTATCAACATATATTGTCACCAGTAATAAATATAACTTTTTATGTCAAACATGTGAGAGGTTTAGCGATATAATTTCACTTTCTCACCATTTTTGCGTGATAACAGTGTAAGCGTAGAATAACACTGACTATTTGGTCGAAAACTATCTAGACATACAAAAGTATGAAACCATAACATGAAGATTACTGTTTTTATCAGAAGGAAATAAATAAATACCGAACTTGGGCAGATACTCGTTAGTGAATTAGTTTTTACTACACAGTTGCTTTATAGTAATTTTATACGCTTTTAGTTGCAAGTTCTTTTAATAGTTAGGTTGTATTTGTCTCAGTCGAGACACTACAGTACATTAAAGAACTGTTTCGTACAAGCATGAGGCTCCTCAACAATAGTCCCAAACGTTAAGCGTCCGATATGGGAAATAAAAGTCCTGAATTAGTTTCGGTGTATCATCGTTGTGTACTTCTGAATAGTTTAAAACTACAATGAAACAACTGTCCACTATCCCTTAGTTTTAATTAGTACTTCAACTGAGATTAATTTATAGAAAACAAAACCTACAGATTGAAACTAATCTCCATAAAACCACTTGAATTATATTTAGGTTTCCACAGTTTCCATCACAGACTGGTCTTAGTTAAACAATCATTGATCTGCTAATTACTGTCCTATCTTTTACAGGTCATAATTCCAGGTCCTGATTGTATATCTGTTGAAAATTGTAAACTATGAAGTGCTGTGATGTTTTGTTTCGCAAACATAATCAAATGAGTTAAGAGTCTAAGTAAACAAAAGTTATTTGTAACTACTCATTTGGTTTTATGGTATTGTGACTGACAAAGTAAGGACATAGGGATTTCCGTTGGTTATTGATCATGCGATAAATGCATTGAAGGCATTAGTGAAATAATTGTGACTACCACAGACAAGATACAATAGTAATGTTGCTTCATCAACGTTAATAGATGATTTGTAGCGTTGATGAAACATATAACTTTATATTTCAGAATGATCGTTTCTATCGATATTAGATTAAATACACTTAATTATCTTTTACGTGAACATTAGAAGCAATTCATTTATCAAGTACAATTTTATAGTATTCAACTTTGAGTAACATTGCAAGTGTGATAACCTTTGATAAATACTCGATTACTGAAATTGAAGTAGATGGATGGAAATTGAAACCTGGAATACATTTATTAGAACTTGAGTCTCTTCATCACGATGTGATTGCTCCGATTAAAAGCAAGTAGTCACTTATATAGGTTGTGAAAAACGACAAAAGTAGAAAAATCTAAAAAATAATTTTTGACAACTGTCTATGTATTCATCAGTCCACATATATATAGTTGTGGTGTATGCTACTTATGTTTTTCAACATAAGTAGTATGTAACGTCAATCGGAGTTGGAGAGAATTGTGAACTGGAAGAACCATACAGAATGTGAAGAAAAAAATGATGGAAATCAGCAAATGAAGTATTCGGTGTATGGTTCTCTTTAATTGTGTATAAAATAATCAATTAGTTGTCTTCACCTAAGCTCTCGTTCGCTACACATATATTGACGGAGCACTGATTCCAACGTTCTGACCGGTATATATTCTCAATTCAAAATGTTAACAACACGAAATTAGTCATTTAATATTTTTCATGGACATATTTTGTTGATATTAAATTAACCATAGCAATACTAAATAAAGTATGATAAACATATGTATATACCATAGTTACATAGAATAAAAATATGGAGTCGAGTGAAGTTATGGACAATTGTGAATGTATTCACAAATATATACACAATAGAATTAGATAATTATCAATTTAAGAATTTAAATTCATTCAGTTTTCTTGGCTATAGTCAATTGAATAAGATGTTTTTACATTATTTTCAAGTAACTAGTATAGTTGGCAATCGGTTAAATTGACATTCATATAGTTATTAAATAAGAACTTTTGTTTAAATTTGAACGAATAGTTTCACAAAAATTTGGGCGCCGAGTTAATGTGAGACATTAATGAGGAAGAATGTATTTGTAAAATCTTATCGAAAGAATTCGAAGTTAATCCAACATTTCGCCTGGCAATCTGGTTCAAGCTTTTTCAAGGAAAATATAATCAAACAACAAACTTATCGAATATAAGTAGGTACATGGTTCTCTGGTTTACTGTATATGCTCACAATTGCTTAATCACTGGTTGGTGATCAATGTCATGCTTGTCTAGTCCTTATTAGTGCAGATCGAATGCTATCGATCATGTTGCAATGTGGCCACCAGTCTAGGTGACTCGACACTGCGGGCACTATGTATTGAGATTTAGATAGTAGTTGGAGCATGACATTGATCACCACCCAGTGATCAATCATTTGTGATTACATCTCAGTCTTACAGGAGGTTAGTCACGGCTCGGATAGCTCAGCGGTAACGTCTATGACTGTGAAGCTGGGTGACACGAGATCGAATCCGCCAGGGAGCACCAGTTCCCACAAGATTACAGGTACACCTTGCTGACGAGTGCCAAGTAGCACGAAACCCGGGTCCAGGGTTTCCTGTTGACTACCTCCAACTACCATCTAAATTACTGTATATACAAATACATTCTTCCTCTTCAATGTCTCATATAGTTATTGATGTATTGAAGTATTAGTTTTATTGTTAATATAGGGGGCTATATAAATAATTGTTTTTTGCAACTCCACGTCATGGACTGATTTTAGTTAGGCAAACATTGTGAATCAACCAGAATTGGATATATTATAATCTCGAGTAATGTAGACCTTGAAGTTCTGCTGCAAATACATGACTTCAATCACGTTAAAGATGAAAAATACGTCATCAATAAAAAAATGAATCAACTAAAGTTAGGAACGTATACGACTGGATCTCAACTTATTTTCCTGAAAAGTAATCACTCGCCTTGAAAAGTACAGTAAAGATCTTGATCAGGCTTAAAATTTTCGGGATTATACACCTATTAGAAAGCCTAAAATAAGATGAATCACGTATTTAATGGTTTAACTGATGATATCACCTACATGTGAAAGTCATTGTAAAATGTATTGTTTGTGATTGTAACCACAATAAAATCTTATTGTGTGTATGTGATAATCCGTGCTATCGCAGGACTTAAATTTGTAAAAATAGCTCATATATGGCATCTACTTTTTATCCAACAAGCTTACAATAACCGCCTACACGCATTCCAAGTTTTGTATAAATCTTTTCCAAATAACGACTTTTTTTCTAGGTGGTTTTGATTCTGAGTCAGTTTTTGTGATTATAACACAGCCATTTTAGAACAGATTTGGATAGCCAGTATAATGGTATCAATAGTTCATGCATGTACAAAAAAGAATCGTTTAAAAAACAGATTGTATTTGTTGCAACCAAAACATGGAATTTTATACAAATGGAAACAGGGATTTATTTAAAGCCATAAACACTGGTACAGAGGCATCATATATATATTCTGATATTCCGAGTAAAATCCTAATCAGATATTTACACAGTTAACATTAAAATGATGGATTATTGCGTTTATCTTGAAAATAGCTACATGCTTTCTTGTTAGTCAACACAATCAAGACCAACTCCCATCCGAAAATACTCATTATTAATTAATAGTTAACAATAATGAATGGTCTCATTTGGTAAATCATACTATCTACATTCCCTAATTTGGTTACAATGGAGCGAATATGAAAGAATACCTTTCGTAACTACTGCAAGGAATATAATCTGACATTTTAATTGTATCATTATTAGGTTATAATATTTCTATATTCTTCTTATTGCAATACTAAAGTGAACTCATTAACAACTGCTGTACTTTTTTTTATTACTTGATTATGACGAATGATTGAACTTTTTCTTCCGTTCTCTTCAACTATCAGTGTGGTTATGCCTGTAATGTAATTTCATACCTATCTTGATATGCGATCAAGAAATTAATCTTTGTTTTTGTGTCAGCTGATTTATACGAGGCACATTGCTTCAAGATTTTTTGTTGTCTTTTGTTATTGAACTGAAACATGGACAAGAAGAATAGCATAAATCCCGGACTAATGAGAGTTAGGATCATTCTAGGTTCCAAACCTTATCATTCCATGCATAAGAATTTAGGGGTGAACGAAAATAGTATATACTGAAGTAAAGAAGATTAACAGGATTCTTATTAGTGAATTACTGTTTTAGATATTGACCGATTTGCAATCATAAAAATCTTCAAACAGGAATGGTGGAAAGATTTATTCTGTGAGATTCTGTTATTACCCTTCGTTAATGTTTATTGGTTTATATTAATGATATTAAACGAACTCATTCATCTGGTATAGAACATACCAGTTGTGAGGGGTAGTGATAGCAGGTGGAGCGAGGTTCGATGCTGAAAGTAGATCTTAACCACTAAGCCACTGCTCCGCATTTATTGTTCCAAGTACTATAGTTAATGATAGGCTGATATCACCCAATCATTGATTTCGAAACATTGATTTGTTAAATATACCTCTAAACTCAGTATAAGGACGGAGGTTATTCATAACCCAACTTAGGATTTGATTACGTACTGTGATCATTCTTCTAATGACCTGTTCGTATGAATAATTTAAATCTATCATGAGCCAGTTTAAGTTCAAAACATTTAGTCACAATATGTTTACATAGTTGAGACATATTTGAATTTTTAAAAATAAAAAAATCTTTTCATGATTGCAGACAAACTCCTGCTGACATGTGAAGAAACAACATGAAACTGATGATGTTCATGAACATTAAAATGAATTATATTAAGCAGAATTCAACTTCTAGATCCGATGTAATTTAGCTTACTATCTATTTTATATTCACCTGTTAATCAACTTGGTCATAGTATTGGTTGACATTCATTGATAATTCTATAATCAAAACAACTTGGTTTTTCTTATCATGTACTTTTATTTCAGAAGTACCAAAATATATTTACACAATCTGAAGTATTCTTTTTAAAAAACAACTTTTGTCTAAGCATACTGTTAGTTCGAATGTTTCTTTTTCATTGTGAAGATTTTAAATGACTAGTTATTTTCTTTGAACGATTTTTCGGTGGAGATTTCCAACCGTCTAATGATCGTGATACAATTTTAGACTTGGAAAAATTCGGTTTTTGATGAAAACTATGCGATGATGCATTTGTTGTTAATATTGATGAAGTAGGTTGATGAGATCCAATCGTTTGAAGATTTTCATTCATCTCTTGACTATCCAAACGTTGATGATGATGTTGTTGTTGATCTGAAGGATTCAATGTATGCGTAGATAGAGCACCAACAGGAAGTGATTCCACTCGAACAAGTACACTTTCATCAGATGCTCCAGCATTTGCACTTAAATCCCAATACGAACCAAGATCATCAATTAAAATAGGATGTGCATGTATACAAAATATTCGATCATTTTGACGAGTACCTACTGCTGTCATCATGACATTTTCAACAGATGATGAGAATGGTGTATTATTATTTAATTCTGACTGAGGAAATCTTATACAAAATTCACAGTGAAAATAATCTCCTTTTAATTGTGCAGTCTTTTTTGTTGAAAATATACAATTTAATTTAGTGAATTGATTTGTTTTAATTGTTTCTGGACAAATTTCATTCACATTGATAATTATTTGTACAGCTGTAATACGACGTAATAATGTTTGTTTCGTTAATCGACTACGTTGTTGTACAACACCCATTACTTGAATCATATGACAAATATCATTACTAATAGTTAACACATCATCTGGATGACTACCAGCTTTTGGTAATAATACAAGTCGTACCGTAGTAGTTTGTAAACGTTGAAAAAAGAATCTTGGCCAGTGTGTAGCTAATTGAACAACTTTGAATATAATAATTGGTAACCATTCACGAATAGATGGTGTATTATAATTAGTATTTGGAAAATACTCTTTTATTAATGCCCTTAGTACAGGTACAATTTTACCATATGGATCAGATTCGTATGTATGAAATGAACTTGAATCATGTCTTGAAGAGAAATATTCTTCAATACAAGAAGACCTAAAGTGAATCGGGAAAAAATGAGCCGGATATTATAGAGGCTATAAAACAGAAGAATTTGTAAATTCAGCTATGAATATGTACTTAGTATTTATGTAAAAAAGAAAAAAATCTTCGGATGTTGGGAAGACGACATGAGTTAATTAGTTGAAAGTGATCAAAAGGAAGTCCTGAACTTGGGCTTTTCTCAAAGTTAGGACTCATCACAACAAGGTTTGCCTGAAATTTTGCGAGCTGATGCTTCTCAGGAGATTTGAACCCGAGTCACTCATTATCTCACTCAGCAGTTATTACTAAGTTATTCAACTGATCTTTTATCAGAACTAGACAAAAATGACATTAGTTACTACTCACTGATCATTAAAATATATAGAGAAATATTTTACAAATACAAAGACTCTAGTTTTAATGTGCTAGTCATTCACCTGATAAGTCTAAAACATACTGACAACTATGCAATGTGAAGTAGGTCTAGATACATGGTTGTCAACCCCAGTTATTATATGAACATTACTATTTCTGTCTACATGAGGGCAAATAGATATAGACCGAATAATATTATAGTCATGAATAAAAGTTAAATAGTTGAACTAATGAGAAAATACTATTGTGATGTATGCCACTTGTGTCTGTCTACAGTACATGGATATAATTTTTATACACTGATCTAATTCTCCTAGTTTTGCCTTAAGTATTAGAAACTCAATATTAACTAATAAACATCACTAAATAATAGAAATTTAAAAGTAGCAACCATCGGACCCCGGCTTTAATCATTCAAAAAGCATTACGTTTGATACAAGATCCAAAAATCTTCCATTCAATCTCATGTAGGTTGTGGATGTGAACTGCTGCTAAAGAGTATCAAACTACGATGATGATCCTTTGGATTTTAGCAGATCTCCTGCTAAAGTCAATTCATGAGAAAACTTACTTACTCATAAGATAAATAGCGTTCATTCTGAACTGGAATAAAGTTATTAATTCATTAAATCAATATCTAAAGAGAATCAACTTTTTCATGAACTTGTTTAGACAAACTGTGTGCCTCTATAAATAATTGAAAAAAAACAACACTGACGACAACACTAAAAACTCACTTTAATGAATAACTAGATCCATCAATTAAGCTAAGAAGTTCATTAAAAAATTCAACCAACTGTGTTATTCTACCATAACAGTGCTTTAAGGAAGTAAGCTAAAAAGAAACTATGAACGAAGAAAAAATGAGCATTCCACCATGTTCAGATCTACAAATTCTAGACATTTATCCATTGAACCACTGGAAAAAATATATGGTACTGGACAGATATTTTGTTTTAGTTTGTAACTTCATAGTAGTGTGGACCAGACTACCGAAGAAAAAAAGGACATCAAGTCTCCAAGAAAGCATGTTACAGAAAACTATGTCAAGTGAAAATTCATATTTTCAACTTCAGTCAACTTTTTGTGATATATAGCAAGATGATTAGGCAGCGTAATTAATAATATATAATCTCATCACTGACATTAATCAGTCAGTTATAAGTAATGTAGGACCCGGCACATGTGCTCACTGATTCAAGTCACCATACCATATCAGCACGGAGAGATATAATTGCCAAAATAAATGTTTGGGTAGTATGATTAATAGAGGTATCAGTGGTGGTAGGAAATATTAAAGATAGATGATATGATTTATGAAGAAATAATGAATTTGTAGAATAAAATATATGACATAATTTTAAAACTCGAGATCTAAGGGAAAATAAACACTGAATAGATTTGCATTACAGTAACCGATTTTCAATCATATCGTCCCTTATCAAACTATCAACGTAGTTGAATACGACTAATCATAACTTTTAATTATATCATTGGGAATTTATCACAAAGTAGAATATCATCCGTGAACAATTCTATCTGTCAGAATAATTGGTTAAATAGTCAACGAGATAATGGTAAAGTAAGATTTTATATTAATCAAAGGAGTGTTCATTTAGGAGTGAGAAATTAACGAAAAAATAAACAATGTAGTCCACTAAACAAATCCAGATTTACGTATTTTGACATACATGTTTTTGGTGTGAGGGTTAGTGACACTAATCACTTGGTCTAAATCAAAAACAAATTAAAGGAGAATTCGAAGCTTCAATCTAATGGTTAAAATTTGAATGAAACTTAAACTATTACTCTACTTGACAAATGTTAGTAGTAAACAAATATTATGTAAGAGAAAGAGATTACTCATCAGTATTAATAAACTTATTGTGAACGCTTACTATCACAGTTGACATAATGAGTCCATTTAAGAAAGTCGGACAAGTACCAAATAAGATGAAATTTGCTATGTGAGTTTTGTTGTTCACAGTTTAAAAAATATGTAATCTATGAAAATGTTACAGGGAAAATTACTGATAATTATTTAAAGGATACGCTTCTAGATGTCTATGTGTTTGAAGATCAGCATCCAAACATTGTACACGAAGATTGGAAATTTCCTGTGATAAATTATTCCACGATTCAATACAACTTGAAAGCTGTACAAGTGAAAAAAACACAAGGAGAAACTATATTAAAATATAATTTGTCAGGTAACGTTTTCGGTTTTTGTAAGGATATTTATTGGAACCTAGGACATAAGTACTTCTGAAGGTAATTCATAAATATCTAACCCCTCTTTCTGCTATAAGTCAGTTATAGCTCTTTTAACTTTATAGAAAGAGGTTTGGTGTTACTCTCATGTCCAGACTATTTATAGATAATAAATGAAGATCACAGTGAAGTGCAATCCGAAATTCAATCACTTTGAGATATAGTGTAAAGATCATCTAATGTCACTAGTAGCAACTACTTACCTCGCCGATATGTCTAAACTCTACTAGTCACAACACCATTTTTGAAAAATAATATTTAATATCATAATATTTGTGTACACAAAGAAACACAACTGAACTAACAAGCTAGTAAGATCAACCCAACACTGTAAAAATGAATGATAAACAGCCTACCCAGACTAAATTTGATGATGCATTCATATTTACATTATTACTATCATCATTATTATTATTAGTCGAAACACATTGAGCAGTTTGGAACTGAGATGAATCATTTCGACATGATGGATTCATAAAAATTGAACCAGACCATCGTTTAATTCTTAATGCATGATATGCGGTAGAACAGAGATTTGATAAATTAATTAGCAATAAACTTCTTATTTGAATATACTTTGCTTGAAACCAACGTCCATCGCTGCCTCCAACACACTGAAAATGTCAAGAAATAGGCGACAAAAAAACATAACAATTATCATTAAATAAGCAGCCAACGTAAAACATTGCATAGATATGAGTTGGCAAAGTACTTTCCAATAATTCACTAGTTCATATCATATAGTGTAATCTAGGAATTTTCATTGTTATTTTAAACAACTTCTACTTAAGTTATTCGTTGTTGCTGTCCAGAATGACAGTAAAAACTTAAAGATTAAAAAAAATCCAATCCAGCTCGAAGAAACCAATATCAATACTAGGTACATTAATACAATTTAAGTGGATCGAATAAGCAACTCAGAAGCCAAAAGCTCTTTATACTGTCACCAGGAATTTTGAAGTTTTAGAATCCTTTGGAAAATACTTTTAAAATATTAATAATTTACGTTTCCGATAAATTAAATTAAGAATTAATAAATGTGTATATAAGTTTGGAATTTACTGGCAAATTACTTTAAATGATAATTGTCCAGAGTTATTTGCGAGTAACAATCGTTATCTCACTTGTATTGGTTGTTCAGAACTTCTCATTAATGTTTAGCATTGGAATGGTTCAGTATGTTGACAGTACATCCACTTGACGCGTCTCAAATAGTACGAAACGCACGTTTTAGATTCCATCGCTAGCTGACACCCATCTCTGTGATTATTCATTATTATTTCTTAACAATTACTGTTAAATTCGTAATAACTAGTTAGTCGGTCAAATGATACGCGTGTAAAGGGTTTTTTTATTTGAAAAGTGGGCAATTTACAGTAAAAAAAAAACAAAATTCATACCATGATGGTAGTTTGTAATTTACAAGCTTCTTCCGATGCAGTTCTTAAACCTAGAATTAATTTAGCAATCCAGGACTTTTTAGTGAATACTATAGGCTGTGTTGATTGATCCATCGGTATATTGGATGTTGACATTGTTTGTTGTACATCTGTTTCCAAGTTTCTCGTTAAATTGATCAATTTGAATTCCATTTGACTGAATTCTGATAGAGCAGTTAACCAAAAGTATGATTTTTCTGTTATAGCCTATATGAAAAAAAAAATTCAAGAGGAATAAAATGTATGCAAATTCCACAAAAAACATTTAAAATAGGAAAAGATTTAGTCAGTGATTGACTTATTTACACGTTTGTACAACTATGAAGCCACGAAACTCATATTTTATAAGAGCAAGAACAAAGATTCTAGCAGAATAGCATGAATTCATTTTATTTCGTAGGTTCTCATCAGCTGCTTACAACCTGTGATATTTAAAAATCATAATTACATAACTGGTTTAAATTGCTAACTGAATATTGTAAATATATACCTAATGTGAAAGAATATTCTACAACATTAATTGTGACAACAGTTCAAAAATGGGTTAGAAACAATCGATTACATAATGAATAACATTGAAGGAATGTAGTGAGTAGAGTTCAGTTGAAAGATTTTTAATTTGAAAGATAGATGAAAAAATAAAATAGAGTCAATGATGTAATAAATGCAAAAGAAAAGAAAAAAATTTTTTAATGGTGCAGTGAAGGAATATTTGTCACCAGGGCAAGGAAAGATTAACCACCGTCTCCTTTTGAATACATAGGTCAGGTTTTTGACGCCTGATGGCAATGGCTTCAGCAAACTTCAGAAGACTGGAGTTTGGCTGCTTAGTAATCACCCTAAAGGATTGTAAGGTATCTACCTGATGTCCTGTATCAAGGAGATGTTTGGCGATTGCACTGTTCAGAGTCTTTCTTTCTCTTGTTCTAAGACTTTTTTGGAACATGTTCAAAGAATCTAAGATATGCTCTCCTTTCAGTTCGGTCGATGTAGCTGCTTTGGCAGGTACACGTAAATTTATAAATACAGTTGGCCGTAACCTGAAAGGGTTGCTTGTCGATCTTTGATTGGGTTACTGAATATGTTGTTTTATACAGAATTAAAAGTTTAGCAGCCGGATAAGTTCTGGCTAGCGCTGTATTCAGTCTCTTGTTGATAATTTGTGCGACGTCATCACCTTTAAAGTTAAGATTTATATATACTGGCTTTTTATTGACCATAGTTATTACCGTCTTCTTTTCCTTGGGCCTTTTATATTTCTCAATAAACTTTTATGGATAAAAGTTTTCTTTTAGAAATTTTTCTACGTTCATTAATTCTTCTTCCAGTTTGTCGATGGTACATATCTTTTCTGCCCTGTAAAATAGTGTTTTAACCAAAGCCTTCTTGTAACTAATTGGACAAAAACTATTGAAATTCAGGCAGAGGCCATTCCAATTACTTTTTCTATAAATTCAATGTTGGACTGTCCCGTCTCCCCTGCGTTTTATGGCAACATCAAGAAAGTGGAACATATCGTTCTGTTCGTGCTCCATAGTAAAATGTATGTTATTATGAGCGTTATTGAAGAGTTTGAGCAGGCGGATTGCATGTTGTTTATTATTACAGATAATAAATGTGTCGTCCACATATCTGGAGTATTCCGTTGTTTCGCTAATTGCCTGTTTAAGTATCGTGTTTTCAAGATACCCCATAAAAATATCTGCCATAATTGGACCTAGTGGACTACCCACTGCTACGCCATCGACTTGGCGATATATGGTGTTGTTAAATTGGAATTGAACATCTTTTGTACATATTAGTAGTAGTTTTTTGAATTCTGAGGCTGATAAAGGTAGGAGATCATCATTCTGACAAATTATATCAATAGTTTCAAGAAAAGGTATATTGGTGAACAAGGATGTTACATCAAAAGAGACCATGAACTTGTCGTTAACATTCGTATGATTTAGTCTATCAGCAAACTGGAATGAATCTCTTAACGTATATGTTGCTAATCTACGACGAACCGGTTCTAGTTTTTCTGCTAGCCAGCGTGCGACTTTATGATATGGTGAGTTGATCATTGATAGGATAGGTCTAAGAGGAAAGTCATGTTTGTGAACTTTTGGTAAACCAAACATACGAGGTAGACGTGAACCACGTGGTTTAAGATCGTTGTAAGTAGAATTATCAATCATTTTCTTTTTTAGGAGTTCTCTAAGCATGCCTGTGATTCGTTTTTCTGTTGAATCAGTCAAATCTTTATGGGATTTATCTACTTTGAACCTCAGTTGGTCGTCCAGGATTGACTTCATCTTAGTGACATAATCAGCTGTATTCATTAGGACAACACCTGAACCTTTATCCGGTTATAAAATCATCACCTCATTATTTTGTTTGATGTTTCTGAGGGCTATTAGATGATTTTCTTAGGGGACCACTCCCTAGCCCTTAACCTAGAGGTCTAATCCATAAGGCAGTGGAGCAACGTTAGGAGATACAGTTCCATGATAAGTGATGACTAACAATACGTTATGTGTACCACTGGTTTGGAGTCAGAATTTCCAACTCTCCTAGGTGGATCCTCCGTATCCATCAACCTGGTTAAGGCACCGAACGTTCGCTTTTCGCCCTCTCAATTTCGTGAACAACACCCCTCATCATGAGAAAGCAGTGAGTAGGAATCTTCTGGCAGTGGCTGTATACGCGTGGCTATGTGAGAGCATTTCGAGAGGGAGAGCGGACTCTCCCAAACTTTGGTAAATCTTTCCTGCTCCATAGTATTTTTTGTTTTTTGTGCAAGCTATGCTACCTATTATTACTGAGTCGTTTGATTCACTCATATTACCCGCATAAAATGATTGATGGTTGTGACAAAGTATAGTTGCCCCATTCACGTTCATAACTCTTTATGTCGAAATTTCAGTTCTTTCTGTTTTCTTGCTAATTCATCTCTTTCAACTCTGTTAGATTATTATAGGTGTGCACAAAGATCAAAAACGTTATTCACCTTATAATGGATAATGGTTAATAGTAAAGTTGAAAACGTGCATTTCGTTCCATTCGGGATTCGTCAGATGGATCCTAATGGTAATGTTTACACTGATACTCGAGCACAATACCTTTGGCCTTAGGCACCCAACGAGCTTAACACTGAATATATAGAAATTAGCTTGTGGGACGAGTATGAATTTTATTTCACATGTAATGGTTTGTATTCTTATTTAAAAACAACACACGGGAATATATAAACCTATGCAAATAAAATTTATCCACCTGATTTTCGTTTATTTTAATACGAAATGAAAATTTTCTTTGTATCCAACAATGTCTTACATCAATCATGGGTTGTTTATAGTAAACGAGTAGCTGGTTTGACTTCAGAATAGGATGAAAGTAAAATGTGATAACAATAGAAAATTTAGTTACACTTAAACATATATTATCACTAAAGGAAGCTTCAAAAATATCCGTAATAATAATAATAATGTAAATAACGAATGGATTTACCAAAGAGGATAATTTTTCGTAAAGTTTACCGGCAAATTCATGCTGACCATATCGATTACCCTGTCTTGCTAACTGATAAACAATCCATGGTGATAAACGATAACCTGATGACCCAATACTACCAGTACTAGTATTACTACCGCTATTACTGATCTTTTCACCTAAACATTTTGCTACAGAATGCATCAATATTGTTTGTTCTCTCTGTGTTAACGGTGAACCACCAGTTAATTGAAATACTAAACCAACAGTGGCAAGCACAGAAGTTACACAATCTTGTGTAGAAGTGGATGATGATAAACCATTCTCATGAATAGAATTGGTCAGTTTCGACAAAACATTTGAATAATTAAGTTGAATAGATTTCATGTCGCTATCAACTGTTGTTATTGAAGGATTCAGAAATAGGAATTGTGACAGTTTAGCATGCATTGTACACAAGAATTGACATAATAAACCAGTAGAAATTGCTCCATCTAGAATAGAATTATAAACGTTATATTTAGAATAAGATTGTATAATTTACTATAAATTACGAAAAATTTATATCTTCCAGTTATTGGTATGAAGGTTTGAATTGACCGGTTCGACTAGACAAGTTTATGTAAACAAATAAGAGAATTATAGGTTGTTTGACAATTGACGACAATAATACTCTTGATTGATTAAAATCGAAATGATTAGAAAACGAGGTTGTAACTAGTAACATGTTATTAACATATACAAGATCCGATGGTGGTTGGAGGTAGTCAACAGGAAACCCTGGACCCGGGTTTCGTGCTACTTGGCACTCGTCAGCAAGGTGTACCTGTAATCTTGAGGGAACTGGTGCTCCCTGGCGGGTTCGATCTCGTGTCACCCAGCTTCACAGTCAGAGACGTTACCACTGAGCTATCCGAGCCGTGACTAACCTCCTGTAGGACTGAGATGTAATCACAATTGATTGATCACTGGGTGGTGATCAATCTCATGCTTGTCTAGTCCTTGCTGACAAGTGCCAAGTAGCACGAAACCCGGGTCCAGGGTTTCCTGTTGACTACCTCCAACCACCATCTAATCTCATTACATAGTGCCCGCAGTGTCGAGTCACCTAGACTGGTGGCCACATTGCAACATGATCGATAGCATTCGATCTGCACTAATAAGGACTAGACAAGCATGAGATTGATCACCACCCAGTGATCAATCAATTGTGATATACAAGATCCACCTAGAGGAGTTGTAAATTCAGAACCTAAGCCAATGGTACACATGAGATCCTGATGGGAAAAATAGCATATGGACCTATTGTTGGTCATCGGCTACCATGGAACTGCATCTCCTAACGTTGCTCCACTGCCTTATAGATTAGACCTCCAGGTCAAGGGCTCGGGGGTGGTCCCCTAAGAAAACCACCCACTTTGGTTTGGGTTCCCAGGTAGTATTTCAGCCTTCACACAAATCGGGTAACGAAGCGTGACGCATATATTTTTCGCTCATTCTTGTACCAAGGTTTATGTGTTTAAATAAAAAGGTGATTATTTTCCTTAGAAGATTTCATGTCATAGGAATATGAGATAATAATTACTAAATGTAACTGTAGTTACCGTAAATATACATGATTAATTAACCTACAATTAAAATGGGAAAATGGGTGACGGAGGAAGGGAACATAGTTCAGTAAGATTATTCGAATTCTATGGCAGTATGAATCAGAATCTTGGAGTAAAATTATTTCTAACTTATCGAGGAACACTAAAATATAAACTTATAATTTTACCACCTCCTAACAAGAAAAAAAGTTTAAACAATTTGATACTAACGAAATGTGATTATAATGGACGGTAAAAATCAGCTGTCATTGTTGGGAACTAAAACATACAATAATCGTACATTTAATTTGATGGGATTTAAACAAGAGTTTCCATAGTCGGTGTTTATTAACTTATAAACTTTGATAATTGATTTTGAGCGTCACATCATTAAGTCTGTTATGAATTAATGAATATAGTTAGCACATAACTTACTTTCTTATAAGTTAAAGTAAACAGTTTGGTAAAATTTTATTCCAACCTTTCAAGATCATTTAAACGCTTAGTGAGAATGTAATTAGTACTACTCAAAGAATTTATTAAATGAATATTTGAGTATATACAAGAAGAATGTCTACAAATATATAAATTGATGAATAACTTACCAAGTTTTATACCTTCAAGAAAGTTCATCTTATGCAATTGAGATGCATAAGATGGAAAGGTACTGAAGAATTCGACAAGTAGGTTATAAATACGCTGAAAAAGATAAGAAATGAAAGCACATTACATTAGACTAAACCATTACTCAAAAGTTTCGCTGAACATTCGCTTTTCGTCTTCTCAATTTCGTAAATAACACCCCCGCCACGAGAATGCAGTGAGTAGGACTTCTCTGGGAGAGGCTATATACGCGTGGCCATGTGAGAGCATTTCGAGAGGGGAAGCGAACTCTCCCCACTCTCGGCCGTACCAGGGCATTCGGAGGCGCTTTAACCGGATTTCAAACCAATGATGCACATGGGCTCCGGTATCCTGAGGGAACAAATGGCGTATGAACCGATCGTTAGTCACCGGCTACCATGGGACTGCATCTCCTTACGATGCTCCACTGCCTTGTGGATCAGACCTTCAGGTCGAAGGTTCGGGGAGTGGCCCCCTAAGAAAACCAACTGTTTCGGTTTGGGCACCCGAGCAGTATCACAGCCCTCACACATATCGAATGAGATTTGTGTGGCGCATATGTATTTGGTGCCTCCTTGTACCGATATCTATGTGTTAAAATAATAATAACAATAATAACTTAAAAGTAATTTTGTTGACGGCAGCAAATGAACAAGTGCATACAAATTCGATAGACTAATTCTTGATGGATGTACAAAAAAGGCAGAGATATTTACAAAACTTCATTAAAAACCATAAAATTAATTAAATATTTATTAAAGTTGGATAATGGCTAGCAATCGGATCCAGGATGTGCATTTCTTCCTATCCACGACTCGTCAGCTAAATGTATTTGGATCGCAGTATTGATATTCACATTGGGACTTGAACCCAGTGATAAAATACATGTTCTGGACTCCCCTGCTCTCTACTATTTAACTTAAAGAAAATGACTTGTGAGTAAGTGGCAATAACAAAACAATCAGCTGAGATGTAAATACACCATAGAAACTAATAAGTTGCAAGTTTCATTAGATATTTAGTTATACTGAAATAAACCAGTTACCTAAAATAATGAAACAAATATAATATATATTTGGCGTATTGCATACATCACAAGAGATTTTAGTGAAACATTGATAACATAAGATTTGGCATACATTTATGTTAGCCAAAATCATAATATTGAGATCACGAATCGAAGATTTGAAAAAGCAAATAAATTGAGGTGATGATTACATCAGCAGACAAATGAACACACTGTGATGATTGTACAACAGATACAATCGGAAAAGTAATGTATCTCCTGGATTTAAATCTTAATGACTGAGAGTATAGTGAAAGGTTAGATTTAAACATTCTGATTAGTTCATTCTCAACCAGTCACAGCTAGTAAACGAATCGAAAAGATACTAAGAGTTTCTCATGTAAATTCTATGCAAATGTTATTGTCTACACTACTGTACCATCAATCACCCCAGTCCTTCGGAATATATTATCTTGTTCCCATCTCATTCTTCGTCCGGATTTGCGAAGTCCAGAGACCAAGGAATATTAAAAAACAGTATAGTAATTGATTTTTAGAAATACACAATTATTATATTTTAAATTTACACAGTTATATTTGTACTAATGGAACTAGAAACCAATAATCAAAATCAGGTACAAGGAAAAGAGGACAATCAGTTTAATAAAACCGAACGTACGCTTATTAGATTTAAAAAATCCAGCAAGGTAATTTGTAAAGTAAAATAATAGTTACTTATAAGTAATACAGTTAAACTGTGTAATTTCCGCGATTCCGGAGTAACTCAGGATGGTACTATAATACATGAATGACGTTTGAAAGATGTCAAAATGACCTTGAGAAAGTTCACCTACCTATTAGTCTAAAGAGGGTTATGAAATGGTTTGAGGAATCAGAATCGGAATTTCGAGTTAGAAGTTAGGATAAGGAATTAGAGCTGGGGTTTTCATAATCTCGAATTAACGTCAATCATAATGCTATTTAGCCATATGGATGAATGTACTTCACAACAAAATCCAAGACTTGTTATCTTAAATCTGATTGGTTTGTCCAAAAATTATAGTCTCATGCTTATTAAATACACAATGCAATGTTATTCACTGCAACTAGTTTATTTGAGAGTAAGTATAGACATTTTTCTTCATAATCATCATCTTAACTCGTAACAGCATGCCTTATAGACTTGGGTTAAGTATAGAAAATACTAACTATAAATAAATCTCAGGTATATCATAAGTTAAAATTATAATGAATTAAATATAAATGAATCCTTTCAACTTTCTGGTCAAGAATACATTTGAACAAAGTAAAAATAACAAGATCTACAGTATAAAGTAAATCCATTTGAAGCATGTTGTAATGGCCGAATATAGTGAGCTCTTTCCAGATACATATCTGAACATTAATCAATAGGGTTATTGAAAGGTGAATTAAAAACTATTTCATAGTTCTATTGTTGAACATTTGCTGAATTCTAACCATCTATTTCAATGAGAATTTTCATTCAAAATTACTAATAAGTTCAAACACATTGGCTCCAAAAGAAACTAAATCAGGAACATGTGAACATCTGAGGTACTGTCAAACCATCAATTCACTCTTGGTTTCTGTGGTTAGAAGCAACAGGCATAGTTTTTTATGCTACCACAGTCTCAACACTCTTCCGATTTTATAAGTTGGTTTAACATATGTTTATCCCTTTTTAATATTCTTTATATTCATTAGGTGGATAATTAGTTTGCATACCCCTTATTTAAATGTTATTTACATTTTATCTGTCTACTATTACCTTTCAATTACTACGTAACTTATATTCGATAATTGAAAATACTTTTGATCACATGATAAGGTTGGAAAGAAATATTTTATTCACCGAACTGTCTTTATTTTGTTTAATGTAATGCATTCTATTTCAGTAGAACTGTGCGAAATGGAAAAAACAAATTATTAAAGATAAGGCTTATACTATGAAAGCCTTAATGAATAAAGCATTTTGTTGTCTTAATTAGTGAGTGGGCCAGTAATACTTATAACTAACTGCTTAAATCGAAACAGGAAGAGTAGTGTAGGAACTTACAACCACCTTTTTTTGAAAGCCGATTACATTTAACCAGTAGGCAACTGGCTTTATCAATCATTGGTACGGTGTCAACGATTGGTATAGTAGAACAAAATCCTGGATCTACAATCGAGTGGAACCAGTAAATCTTAAGCTAGTATGGTATATATACCATAAATTCTAACAGAACTGAATTAAATCCTATTTACCTTTAAATCGTCGACTGGAATTTGACTATCGTACAGATACCATAGTGCTTTTCGTTTGCTTATGGTTCCTTCTGCTTCTTCGTTAATAGGATTATTAAAATGATGGAAAAGAAGTTGAATTAATTGTCCTGGTTTAAACTCAAATCCAATATTATCATCATCTATATAAATTTCACAATTTTCGTCGTCAGTGTATTTTAATTGATCACTTTCACCTTTTAATATCGTCAGTTTACAAGCTAATTGAATTGCATGAACCAGAAGATAAGCTGATGATGAATCTTTTAGCGCACTTTTGATACAATCGACAGGAGTATAATCTGAAATTAAGTGGTTGATATCAAAAATAATTTCATATACACAATATTATGATGAACATCTATAGCTGATTTCAAAAATCTTGATCCCTTGATAAATTTAAATAAAGTGAAAACAATATATCCAGGATAAAATGAAATCATTATTTTAAGTGTGATTACATTTAATGGACACTGGACACAAAGTTTATGTCTCAAAAGCATTAAAAATAATTAATACACAACGTAAACCATTTTTACTCCGTTTTGCAATGTTGCTTCAAGATTGGGTTGCATCGACACCCGAACTAATGATAGGGAGTGAAGTAGTTGAGTGTGTCGACCGCTTCACTTATCTTGGAAGTCTCATCAGCCCTTGTGGTCTGGTGTGTGACGAAATCTCAGCACGGATACAGAAGGCTCGACTAGCTTTTGCCAACTTTCGTCATTTATGACGTAGGCGAGATATCCGTCTATCAACCAAAGGACGCGTTTAGTGCGCAGCAGTTTGTTCCGTCCTATTTTGTGGCAGTGAAACATGGCCGGTAAGAGTAAAGGATATTCGTAGGTTACTGGTATTCCATCATAAGTGCCTTCGAAGCATTGCTCGTATATCCTGGGACCATCAAGTAAGTAACGCAGTTGTTAGGAAACGGGTACCAGGTAAGGATGGCAAATCGATTGATGAAGTAGTGAAACTTCATCAGTTGAGAGGGCTGGGATACGTGTTACGTATGACCAACCACCGACTGCCTCGACGTGCGATGTTCAATGGTATAGGAGTATGTTGGAAGAAAACTAGGGGTGGCCAGACCAAAACATGGCACAAGTTCATGAAGTCACTGACAAGTGGACTGAGTCATGTTGGTAGGTGTAGACTACGTGGTTGGGGACCGCGAGACGATAGCAGCCGATGTTTAGAGACCTTGAATGACATGGCTCAAAATCGTTTGGAATGGCGCAGGTGCATCTACTCTTTATGTTCTCCCAAATTCTAATCTCATGAACCCTCCTTGTCTCTTTTTTTCTCTTCACAAATTTATTTCACTGTATTATACTCTTTGAATAACGTCTCCAAACCCTAATCTTTCCGATTACTGCTTATAATCTTACTTGAATAATCTGAGAAGAAAAGTCATACTCTAAATTTATCGTTTATCATTGAATATTTCGATCCTTCTGAAACGCATAACTTCGCACAAACGTAAAAATTTTTGACCACTTACTCAATTCAACTTTTATGTAGTTGTAGTCGACATGAGAGGATATGCTCGCTGAGGATTGTTACAATTTTATTTTTTATTTTACAATGAGAAATATACCTGAATTAATTACAAAAAAACTAACCACATTATCACACTACTTATTGATAGTAAGTAGGATACCTAGTTATAATAGCAATAGTAACACATAGTTTGAGTCGATTTGAGAAAAACTAGTGACTGTTATTCAAATGAAACATTGGAAAAAAGATCGAGTTCACCTAAATCATTTTGATCTACATAAAAAAATACATCAAAGAAGCAACATAACACAAAAACATGGCAGAAAAACTGATCTTACGTGAGAGTGAATTAGATTCTTTTCCAGATGGTAATGTGAGAAATTCAACAGAATGAAATGATGTAGTAAGGCAATAAAAGATTTGTAAAACTAACGCTTTATCCATTTTGCTACAGTTTTCGTCATGGTAAAGGGAACTCAACTCCTGGAAGAAGAATTAGACAGTAATAACACCAAAATTGTAAAGAAATTATTCAGAAGGTAGATAGTTTTAAGCTAGCACTATATGGAATAATGGTCATTGACGTATTGTATTGTATTGTATGCAAGTCGACTAAGTTTTGCAAAAGGAAAACTACTAGATTTAAACGTAAATACTGAACTAAAGCAAATTTATCGACTACGTGCAACTTGGGCTGTAGGCCTTTCTGAGAAAGAAACTACAAAGATAGAAGCATCAGTTGCTCCCTCGTTTTTTAATAGTTCTTCCACCAATCTCAATAATAATAAGATTTGTCTTTTAACTAATCAATCGTAAATGATTCAGAAATCTGAAGTTCATAAAAGTATTCATCAACTTACAGATAAAATCTTCAATACCTATAAGCTTTCTAACATGGGGACATTAAAGTCTGATCAAGTTATTTCATTTCAAGGAATCCTGAATCTAATCACACAGTTCATAGTATCCATCAAAACAAGTGTCAATAAAGTTAACAGGGGGTAGTAGTGTTAAGTAACTGTATATTATATCTATCAAGTAATGATAACCTGAAACAAGGATAATCAATGGAAATTTAGTGCAGATTCTTTGTGGTTATTCATTTTTAGGAGTTGATTAAATGTTTCATCAATTTATGTTACAGTGATCAAATCCCTAACGTGTTTTAAGCCATAATGTCAGTAAAATAAAACGAAATAAAGTTGGTCAGTGAGATGTGAAGCAAAATTAGCATATTCTTAAGAATTTACACTTAATCGAGATAATTTTTTTAAGAAACAGAAACCACATATAGAGTAGTACTCGTTATGAGTGATAATTAAATCGAAGGTAACCATGTAGTCGTAAAAAATTGTCGAACATAGCCCAATTAAATGAAGCAAACAAAATGAGAAGAAAAATAAACGATAGTAATAAAATAACACCAATAGTACGTGAGTAATTAAAAATCAAGGAAGAAAACCTGAGAAGAACGAACGAAATCCACCGATTAAAAACATGCTATAGATTTTATGGGACACAAAGAATGAATGTATCTGCCCTACTATCATAGATTTTGAAACATATCTTACTACTTTGCTAATTATAAAGAAGACAACAGCAATTTACATTACATTCAAAAGTGAAAATTGATTTTGATGTAGTGTGGTGGAATAAGGGTTTGGATTTCAATTAAAAAGTATAACATTCTATCATTTAATGTAGTAAACGGATTGGTGATCAATAAAATAATTTTGTAAGACAATGGAGCCTACGTATTTAATTGGTCTCTATAGAAAGAAAAGACGAATAAGTGTCATCTATGTGCTGAGGTATAACACGAGAAAACGACTACTCCTTACCGTGAGATGGATAGCAAAATCAGTAAACTTGTCAGAAAATTTAAAATTCTAAAAGGTATATTTAGGAATTTTGCCAGCAACTTCTCCTGTGCTGAAGAAAGTGTAAATATGCAGAATTAAACATTTTATCAGGCATCGTACTCGGTTAATTTTTTTGCTCGATAGTGAAAGTCGCCACAGATGTTAGCAATTATAAGTTAATTATTTTAAAAAAAATCTGCAATAAGTTACATCAGAACTCACAAGGATATGGGATTTCTCGAAGTGATGTGACACATTTTCAGCTAGAGTTAAGAGATTCCAAAGGACACTTTGACGAAGTTGAGGTCTTTGCTCTATAGATAATCGTTTGATAAGAAGGTTGATCTATGGATTTAAAAAGTATCTGAAGATCAATTCAAGGGTTAATATTTTAATATTCTAGATAAATTTGACAAGAAAGATGTGAAAAACTAGCCTTAAGGGGTTTAAAAAATTGAAATAGTCCTCTTCAGTGATAACTTTAGAGGACTGTATATCAGGATAATGATCTTAGTATATTGTACTTCCATAGGTCCTCGAATAAAAACAGACAGACTTTAAAATGTTGCCCTGAGTTAAATAATTCTTTACAATGCTTCGAAAAAAAGGAAATTATCAATAGCCTGTTGATTTGTTTACTGAGATATAAGAAAATATCGACGTAAATACTAGCTAATTTGGAATTTAAATGGATTACTTAGTGGTTAAATCTCAAGATCCAAACTACTGAGCTATACATAATTTAAGTCATAATGAACACTAGATTCATTGAACACATTCCTATACGGCTGGATCATTAACTAAGATATACCTTATAGCAGTTTACGTGCAATTGAGTTTGTTCACATTTGACTTTGTTAAGCCCTTTTGTTAAGTTATTTAACGGAGAGTCATTCGTACAATAACAACTTATCTATACCATTGTATCCTTATTACTGTTGCACTTGTATGAATATATATACTGGAGCATTGCTTACTGACTACGCATATATTCATCCTGCTAGCCTTACCATTAGTCGCTTAGTTGATATATATATATATATATATATATATATATATATATATATATAATCCTGTTCACTTACTCGCTTGCTTTTCGGCACTACTCTTTCATGTTTGCTTAACGTACCTGTAATTTCAGTTATCTGTGAGTGGTGCATTAATAAACTTAATCAACACTTCTTATTCGCCTTCTGATTAATACACCGTTGGTGGGGGATATCTATTGACGGTTATCAGGACGAATTGTAATACGAAGGTTAAGGATTATATTGAATACCGACCACCGCAACCTTTTTGTATTAAAAACAACAAACATAAAATCCTTCCCTACAGTCAAAACGACTAAGTTTAAAGCCTTTTGCTACATTTCAATGTTACATAAATACAATATAACCATCTAAATAATTCTTTCTACTTTGTTGTTCCAAATTACTTTTTTTGAGCAATATAGACTTACTAATCGAATTTAAAGGGCTTTTAGAACGAAACAACATACAGACATGAAATTTTTATACTTCTTAAAATCTACTTAGTTAACTTTACTCATATTTCAAATTAAAGTCCCTCAGCAAAAGTCACTAGTTTCGTTGAGTTTAGATGAACACAACAGTATTGAAACTTTAAAATGATAATGAATCATGATACTAACTTCCTTGATGCACATCAAAGAGAATTTTTAATCAGTGAGTTAAGTGCAAAGCTCGTTTTGACTGATATGGATGAAGTGAGTCATTGATTTTCCAGAACCTACAGAAAATATGTTTAATGCTCCACTAGATACAAAAACTACATGAGATTTCTATTATACAACATCTGTTACGCAACAAGTAACTCATGGATCTAAAAATTCATAGATTAGATTATCCAGAGTTACCCTGCGATAGCGTCTTAAACATTACAGTCAAACTATTATTTAGTGCCTTACTTATTACAGGGGCGCATAACAGTAAACTATATGCAAATTGATAATAAACTACTACTTATGTCTTCTCGACCAACGTCAATATTCATAATTACTGTTTACAATTAGTTTTAGATGCACAGTCTACTAAGATAAACCATTACACATTTTTATTTCGACAAGCGTGAATTACTGAACCATTCAATAAACCAGAAATTAAGACCATGCTACCATCCTTTATCATTTGAAACTCGCTTAGTCTTTTGTAATAAATACTGTTTGGTATTCATAGAGTGGGAGAGACTACTGACAAATCTTTTTCAAGGTTCTAATTAGATCCCCCTAAGTAAATAAAACACAGATGACTAATGGTATAGAAATAATGAGTGAATATTTTAACTAACTAACATTTGCCGTGAGACATTAGAGAGGAAGAACGTATCTGTAAAATCTCAGCGAAAGAATTTGAAGTAAATTCAACGTTTCGCCTGGCAATCTGGTCCAAGCTTTTTCAAGGAAAATGTTGATATTTACTTCAAATTCTTCCGCTGAGATTTTACAAACACATTCTTCTACTTTAATGTCTCACATTAACTCGACGCCCAAATATTGTGAAACTGTTCGTTCAAATTTGGACGAAAGTTCTTATTCAACATTTATTGTTCCTAATTTAGTAGAAACAAAGGTGATTTGGAAATTAATGGACGATATCAACGAAACTTCACAAGTTAACATAGCTTGAATGAGGTTAGACGGACTGTTACTCTCTAAACACCACAAACACAGCTAAATATGCTATTTTCTTTTGGTGAACTTTACTATTTCGTTCTGATGACTGCGGAAAGGACAATCGAGACAGTGATTTCGATAAACTAAAAACGTGGGATTATAAGTCGACAAAAGTTTTACAGACTAAAGGTGATGTACGTCTTTTGGTAATGTCCCGCATCTTAAACTTGGTAAGCATTGAACAAGATCAATGATAAGAGTGATTTCTAAAACAAAACAAAACAAATTCATGGTAATGAACATTTGTTTTGATATTCTGAGACAGTTTACATTTTAGGCCATGAAAAACTGACCTGAACATGGACATGCAAAGGAGCACGGGTTTCTAAAACTGTAAGAGTATCTAAAATCCCAGTAACGAAATCTGTGGTATTGTAGGTTTCAAGCATTGCTGTCAAGCAGTGACGTATCTGAGGTAGCGATTAACTGTGAATCCGAACAAACCTCTTCTGCGACAACAGAATTATGATGCATATGTTTTCCTAGATACAGTAACTTAAGCTTGGTATCCATATCTACCGACAAGTTATTTAGTATTTTACATAATATAGGACAGAGACTTGCAGCAAAGACACTAAAATAAAGGTTATAACGACATAGTAGAAGGTACCTGGATATAGGTGCAACTGTATGACAGGCCCAAACAGCAGCATCTGACTCAACTTCATAATGAGACTCTATCTGTTTCAATATGGCATGATGAACCCCAAGATGGTCCCGAGTTATCTCATTTAAAATCCCAAAGAGACTATACAGACTACATAAGGTTAATCCCAACTTACCGTAAAGTAAGAGCTCGAACAGTGGGGTCATTACTTTCCGTAAAGGGTAGCAATTTACGGATGATATCCTCACAGACTGTAAGCTTTTTGAAGTGAGTTCTACACTCGGTACATGCACGCAAAATGCAGAGACGAAGGTAATTATTTCTGAGAGTAAGTGTATTTAAAAATTCGCCTACCCATCGCAGAATATCTGAGTGATTTTTAATAGTATAGAGTTTATAACAACAGGGAAAGGATATTTTTCAAGAACGGAGGGAAACTGTGCAATTGTTTTGCATTGAATCCCAAGATTTGTCGACTGGAAACCTAGGAATATATGTAATACTCAGACGTAATAAAAACCTTTGTTTAGCTCCATTATTAAAACGTTAGCATCTTTCCCTAAGTCGCTTTCACTCGGACCTTGACTGTTGAAGGTCATTCTCGGCAACTATAATGAGCGCTTCCAAAAACGTTTGTTACAGATGTTCAAACGGTTCAAATGGTTGTGGACGGAATAGAAGAAGCTTTCGCTTAACAGGCTTCCGTGTCTAGTAGCAGGGGATCACCAAATCCTCCAGGCAGGAACCTAGGTATGTTAACAATAAAAGAGGAAAAGAAATTGGTAAATCATAGTGCGATGCTGTCCTTGGTCCTTAAGAATAGGTCAAGTTGCCTCTTGAAGGACTCCTGAGAAGTCGCTTGGACTAGCTCGGCCGGCAGCGAGTTCCAGCTTTTGACAACTCTTAAGGAGTAGAAGTTGTGTCTACATTCCGTCTTGCTATGTTGTGTTTCCAGTTTCTGGGTGTTACCCCTTAGGTTATTGTTCGAACTAAGCTTAAGTAGGTGTTTAAGAGGATGTCCAGAAGTGTTAAGAATACTATAAGCCATTAATAAATCACCTCTAAGACGCCTATATTCTAGTGGGTAAAGGTCTAGTGAACGGAGGCGTTCTTCGTAAGGCTTAGATTTGAGTCCTCGAACTGATTTCGTGGCTCGCCGTTGGATACGCTCCAAAGTGACCTTATCCTTTTGGAGTGAGGGGGGGGAGTATTATGTTTCCGTACTCTAAATGGGGACGGATGAAACTATTGAAGATTGTGTGGAAAGTTCTTCCGTCAAACTGACCAAAAATGCGCCTCAACGTTACCAGTGCAAGGTTTGCTCGGAAGGCATTTTTGTCACAGTTAGCGTAAGACTTTAAGTCATGGGGCACCAGGACTCCTAAATCTTTTTCGACTTGGGATACTACTAGAGAGGAGTTTCCTAAGTTGTAACTGTAGTTTGCGACATGTCGCAGATGGACTACTTTACACTTAGAAGTGTTAAAGGTAAGTCCGTTATCGTCTGCCCAACTATGAAGTGGAGTCAGATCCTCTTGAAGTGCCTGTATATCGTCTTGGTTGCGTATCTCTCTCCAAAGTTTCACGTCGTCGGCAAAAAGTAATAAGTCTGACGTTACCTGTTGAGGAAGATCATTTATGTAGATCAAGAAGAGAAGAGGCCCTAGTACTGAGCCCTGGGGGACCCCACTAGGACATTCCATAGCTTGAGATAAAGTGAAATTAACCCTAACCTTAAAGTGTCGATTTTTTAGGTATGAAGTAAGCCAGTCGATTAGAGGTGGTTTGATACCTAGTCGTTTGAGCTTGTTGATAAGACACAAGTGGTTAACCTTATCAAAAGCTTTTGAGAAATCAAGGTAAATGACATCAACCTTTCCCTTGCGATCGAGGATGCTTGTCCATCTGTCCACCGCAGTCAGCAGGTTGGTTATACAAGAGTAACCCTTCCTGAAACCATGCTGTTGGGGTGAGAAGAAATTTAAGGACAGTAGGTAGTCATTTAAACCGTCGCATATCAGGGACTCCATGAGTTTTGAAGGTAACGACAGAAGAGCTACCGGCCGGTAACTTGAAGGTTCATTGCGTCGACCACCTTTGAAAATTGGTGTGATGTATTGAAAGTTGTGATGACATCGAAGGAGGTGGACATTGAAAGTTGTTCAGTTTAAATTTAAGTCAACTTATGAAATAAGTGTTTTAGCGTCTAGTTTCACATAGGAACCTTTAAATACAAACTACTAGGTTCTCTAAATTATATACTGTATGTAAATGATCTACCAAGTATAGTAGAGTCCCCAATATTATTGTAGGCTAACGATGTAAAAACCTGACAAGAAAGATGGAGATACTTGCTCACCCCACATAGTTTTAAATTTTTTGATTAACTGGTCTAAAGACTGGCTGACGCCTATCAACGTGTCCAAGTGTGTCTACATGCACTTTGGGTACAAAAGTAAATAGGCACAGCATAGGGGAAGTGCCTGGACCCGTGGTCTAGTCTCGCAAAGATCTTGGTGTGACAACGCATCATGCTCTTAAATCCACCGCTCACTACCGGGAGGTCGTAGCTAAAGGGTTTAGAACTCAAGTCAAATAAAAACATGTTCACTACAGTATACACAACCTTGGTGAGAACTAAGCTTCAGAACTGCGTTCAGGCCTCAAGCACATTTTTAAAAAGTGAGTCTTATATCCTGGATAATATGCAGAGGGCAGCTACCTATGCAATTCCAGAACTCTGGGGTTTACCATACAAAGAGCGGTTTGAAAAGCTAGACCACTTTACTATGTCCTAAAGCAGATCAATCCTTGGAATCTGTAACCCTAAGCAGTGGTGTTCGCACATTCAATTGGCTTGTAGAATTATGGTCTACTATGATAGTAGTACTGCTCTAACAATAGACCTAGTCCTAAAATTGTAGATTTGTCATGATATAACTGCCTAATCTATAAGATCTTACGTGGAAGTCACACCATCAACTACAACTCACCGTATCGTAACAACTACCAATACATGATGAAGAACAAGCTTAGGCTAGAGAAAGAACAATATATTTAATATAAATAAAAGATATAAGGTAATATTCAGCAGAGACCACGCCTGCATGGCCGAGCCATGCCACTCGACCATCTCCAATTCATTCAATTCATTATTCGAGCCTTCTCCATTGTTAGGTATTTATCCGCGTTAAATATTGAATACCTATTTTCTGAGCAGTCTCGTGTTCAGCTTTGTGGATTTTGCTGTTATTGTTCAATGCCACTACACTACTCTCCCACCAGAATCAACGTGATGTTGGTTCGATACCGAATTGGATGGGATCGTCGTGCGCCGAAGGTTACGAAGACTAGGAAGAATCCCCGGGTAATGATAAGCTGAAAAATAAATCAAAAAGGCGGCAGCATCTGGTCGGGAAATACATGTAATAGTTTTTAAAAAAATCTGCCTTCATGCTTAACACACTTAAAATGAAAATTTGGGTGAACATTATTTGAGCTATACAAAATGGGACTACAATAATAACAATAATAAAACGATGCGTGTTAATAGCCGTTGGGTAATAACTTAACGTATAGGTAGTAAGTATTTTGTGTTTAGAAATATTAAAGTAATCAATATTGTAGAAATGTTAATATTGGTATTAGTTTTGGCTTAGATTATGAAATCAAATAACGATTATGCCGGTAAGTTGTCCATATGAGTTGAATTCCAATTGCATCTGTATTAGTAGGCTAACTGAAGGAACAAAAGTATACCGTGGAGAAGAATTCCAACTAGTGTTCCAGTCAGTTTGATACGGTTTATTTAGTTACGGGTAGATTTTCTCAACCCCATGTTTACTTGACCGTGATAGAATTTATTAATACTACTAATACATATGAATGGCTATCAAAATAAAATTTCAATACATGAGTGATAATTATATGAATTTTGGACAGATAGCTAGGAACAAATCGTTAAACATGAGTGTATTCGTTAGAGACATGCTCTAGACTCAATGTTCCGAGTTGCCATAGACTATTTATACATATTTATACTTGCTGGCTGATTAGGCATACAAGTTAGTTGCAAGTATGCAGTTTATCATAAGGCGGAACACGATTTAATTGAGATATAGTGGTTATAAGTTATTAAAATCAGTTAGGCCTGTGTCCTATTACGAAGTGATGTGGTGCTGCAAGATGTATTTAGCTAAATACGTTTTTACAAGATGATTAATAGTTAGTGATGCTCATGTGATTATCAGAGAGAACATAAGTTGTAACCAGGGGGAGTACAATCCGAACTCATGTCTATGATAATGGCTTGAACCTTAGTCAGTGTTGAGGTAAATTCGACATTGATGTTTTCAGTTTGCAGGAGATTTGCTCGACTGCTTATACTGATTATTTGCATGCATGATTGTGTCGCTAAACCATCAATTAGACTGACAAGGTTTTGAGATATTTACTGAATGAGCAACTGATAGAGAAACATACTGTAATCATCTGTGATGGATGAAGATACCCAGAAAACAATACCATTTAATGGTAATTATAAGTCAATTCGTTGACCCATTTCGTTAATAGTTTCATTAATATTATCAATCATATTACGTGACAGTCAAGTCGTGACAATGCTTTATGACGATATCCTGAAACTATTAAATTTAACTAGTTATAGTGTTGATTGAGGATTAGTCAGTGGAAAAATAGGTATTGTTGCTTTAGGTGATTCGAAATCATCAGAAATTTATAACGTTAAAGAATCCTAGACGCCTAATTTAATTATAAATTTCAGTTCAGAAATATTCGTTTAGTGTTAATTCTAGTAGGCTACGGAGTTTTGATTTGAAACTTTTGTTTAGCCAACAGCTACCTGGGAATTTAGTTATTTGACTATGTTCGAATTTTAGGCTGCTAATATGATAAATCAATCCATAAACCCAAATACGATTAGCAACAACAACTATGATGGGTTTATTGATAAATGGTAAGGGCGATCCAGATGATTTCTAAATTTAGAAGACATGGAGATATAGTGTAACGTATGTATCGGCCAGGTTAACATGCAGGTTGTTTACGTATATGACGATTTAAAAATAATGAACATGACCAGAAAATAATTTTAAAGTTTAGACTGCTTGTGAAACTTCAGGCAGGAATATGATGCGTTATAAACATTCCATAAGAAGTTACTGCATTTAGCCTAGGGACATTTACAAATATTTGTCAAAAGCAACTGGAAAATATATACATGTTAAGTACAAAAAAAATCATCCACTAAAATAGTTGAACTCGCCTTGATTATTTTTGAAAATTAGTTTATTCAGTGGACGACATATATAACGCCATTCGTGAGGAGTAGTAATGATCCAAAAGTATCCAGAACAAAACATGCAGTACGGCAATTAATTCCAGGGTGCTTGATGCTGTTGACGTTTTTGCCACTCGCTCGGATCAGAACAATTGAATGAATCCAGATAATTATGTGGTTGTTATTGAACGAGCCATCTATAATCACCTTATGATTGCAGAAAACCTATAGCTGAAACTCACCGTATGTTTTTGGAGAAGTGTCCTCCTTGTTGTTTGGCAATGGAACTCGAAAATATGAAATTAGGCAGGCAGTGGTCAG